TTTCTGCTGAGGACCTCTCCAGCCATTCTTTCCCAAGCCCGTAGCTTGGGTTTGTTGCAACCCAAGTGCAGGACCCGGCATTCAGTCTTGGAGATGTTCATACAACCAACCTCAGACTCTGGACATCAGAGTCTGACCCTTGGCTTCACAGTGCTAGACTAATGCAGAGGAGGCTTTGCTACAATAGGCAGTCAGGGGCCACCATCAACACTGTCTGACACTGGAGAGCATGGCACAAAGAGGCTGCGTCCAGCAAAAATTTCCCAGACTACCTCACAGAGTCCAACATCACACTCCATCTTCCTGCTATGTGCAAAGTCACACAAGCCAAGCTGTTCTGTGCAACATTGGCTACAACGCAAAGCAGGACTTAGCAGTTAATATTTCTTTCCCAAAATAGCCCAGAGCTAAGCTGGGGAGATGTGGAAGGCAGAAAATGCTCACCTTGTCAATATGGAGGATAGGCTCTAGGAGGACAGCACAACTGCTCTTAGCACAAATGAGCAAGCAGGTTAGGGGTGAGCAGTGCCAGAGAGCAACCTGGGGATGCAGAAATAAACAAATGGCAGCATTTGTCTGTGTGACAACAGAGATGCCAACCAGAGAGGCAGGAGCTGCGTTCAAGTAGCTGGTATTGCCAGAGGCTGAGGCAGACTTGAGGTAAAAATAGCACTTCCCAGTAATGTACATCAGCACTGCAGTATCCAAGGACAACAAACCTCCTAAAAGGCAAGCACCTTCCTCACAGCTGAGGGGCTGTTAATGTAGTAACAGCCACTGCTAAGTCTGAGAAAATTGCAAGTGACCACAAAGAGAAAAAGCTGGTATTTTTTCAATTGTTTTCAAAATCTGAAAGAGCACTTACTTATTCTGCTGCTGGAATTAATTCTCAGAGAGATACCAGCCCTTCTGATCACAAACTAGACTAGGGGTGGGTTGCTAAATGATGGTTATCAATATCGTAATATGAAAATGCCCTATGGTGCTGCTGCTCTCTACCACTGATAGCAGATTTCATAAACAAGCTGTACCCGTCTTCATTTGCTAAATAAATAAATTACATGCTGGAAAACAGTAATCACTTTTCTAACGGAATAACTTTCTTCATTCAGGTTCCCTGTATGTTGTATATTAATCATGAAGTGACAGCAACTAGAGGTAAAAAAACAGGTATCATTAACATGGTATCTGCAGTTAGCCAACAAACCTTAACTTTTATAGAATTATTTCTGGAATTATTTAGATGTAGAAGGAGCTATATTCAAAAGAGAAAAAAAACCCCAAACCATATTCTGTTGATTATTTCTGTGAGTAATTTACAAAACAATTATATCTGCTAGATATTCAGGTTCAATCTGCCTTATCCAGATAAACAAAAAAGCTATTCCAATCAAAGCTTTTCAGCATCTTCATTCCTTCTGTGCAAAACCTGGCTGCAACAGTCTCAAGTCTCTGATTTTCCCTCAGAGTCTTTGCACACTCTGCTCAACATTAGTCACTTGTGGATCATTACACCTTTCTTCTTCCTTCATCTGAAAGAAGAAAAACTACCAAAAAGAAGGACATGGTAAAAGAATATGAGATGTGAAGCCCCTACTTCCACTTCCCTGTCTGTTCCCGGTCTGTCTTAAGATTGTTGCAACCCTCCATCCAAACAGCAGCAGGGCTGCAGAGAAGCAGTTTGCAGAGCATAGGCTGGGACTGAGCAAAACACATGCAGAAGGAAAAAGACACAGCAGTCCTTGCTTCCTGTTTGCACTGCAGATTTTCTCACACTGATGTTATGACTCTGCATGTTTGTAGCTTAACACACAAACCCAAAAATACCCTGCTGCTGGAAGACACCGAGAGAATCAGACATTAGACAATGACTTCCATTGAAAAATCCTGTAGTGGTTTCAGCAGACGTTTCAGCACAAATAGCAACAGGAGGTACGTGTTGCCCTGATGTAATTACATCCTGCTACAGTCAAAAACTTAGGGCTAACTATGCTGAGACATTCGATGAACTCAAAACTTCTAAGTTATGTTTGATAAGAGAAAAAAAGAACATAATTTATTGACCTTTATCTACGTAAAGAAGAGAATTAGCCTGGACTCTTTGTTCAAGAATCAGTGGAAGCTGTCCGCAACTTGCACACGTCATGGCCTCACATCATGGGCAATTTCCCCACATCTTGGCCACAGGTTTTGCCAAATCAGAAAATCTGATTGGACTGCCACAGTTTCAGATATTTCTTCATATTCTTCATTTTCTACATTAGCACTTGACTTTCATGCATGTTAGAACACAGAGACAAACCTTTGAATGATGGGATAGAAAAGCAGAATAAAATAATTTAAAAGCTGACAATACTGTATTTCATTCAGGAATAAAGTCCACACAGAAGCAGCCTGTCAGTGAGTATTTTCAAAGTTGCATTTGGTTTTGTGAAGTGAGGAAGGTACAGAAGGTATCTCTCTGGCAACCTTTTAAGCTGCTACCTCCCACAAGGCATTTGCACAGGAATGTCTGGAAGAGAAGGCAGATTCAGTTGTAACATCCTGACTTTGGAAAACTTTCAGCTCCCATTTGCAGCTCCAAAATAGGCTACTTAGAAAAGACAGCAAGCATCCCTAACACTGCACTTCAATCAGAGGCTAGTCTGCCTACAGCAGTGAAACACATACCAGAAAACATGAAACACAAATGCCATGTTATTTTTAACACTGCACAAAACAAACAAAAATTAATAAATAGAATACTTGTTTCTAACAAAATGCCATATGGCTTAACAAAAAAAAGGAGTCCTCCTCATGTTAACCAAATTGCTTAGGCTGCCAAAAACTATTAAAAGGAAAAGAAGAAAAAGAAAACACACGGATCAGATATCCAAAGTGTCTGAAGTTTGAAAACATGGAAACTAAGTGTGCATACCCTAAGACAGGTCCTTCTGTGTGAACAAGCAAAGATCTTGTTTTAAATATTGCACAGCCAGCTGGGAATCCAAGCATGAAACTGCTCAACAGTCCTACGTGCCCTGCTTGGTGTGGGTGCCTTACCTCACTTCTCAGCAATTCCTCTGAGGCTGAAGCAGCACTGACCATCTCCAGAGAAAGACATCTGTCCAGCCCCACATTACTAGCAGGAGTTAAGAGGATCATGCAGCAAGAGAGATCCAGTATTTATTTTGGACCTCTGTAACCAAGCTGAAGCAATTGATTTAAAGCCATATCCACAAGCAACTGATTCCACAGTTGGCTACAATCCAAGAGCAAATTATCTGAAAGTTCCTGTGATTTTTCAAGGATTGTACTCATCAATGAGGAAAATGAAATGCAGGGTTTCACTCTGAAAAATCATCATGCAAACAAACACAGAAAGGTTCAGCTAAACAAAAAAGTTTCACAGAAAAACAGGGTAAATGGGTATTTGTCAATTTTTTTCCATGAGTATCTGTTTTCTAAACATCCAGGAATGGCAGTGTCAGGCATTTCGATCCCATGCAGCATATCCAGCCAAAAGCCAGTATTTGTTAGAACATGTCTATGAAAGGATAGTCAAGAGGAAACTGCAAGACATGCTGCACAGGGCCAGGAGGTAGTCCAGGATCACTAATATGGCCCCCAACTATGCCAAGCAGCTGTACCTGAAGTCCAGTCTGTAGGGGTCCAGAAACTGGTAACCCTTAACAGCTACAAGTTCTTCTAGTACTCTATAACTTGTGCCGCAGACAGAAGGGCAGCAGGTCTTAAACAGCACAAAAAAACCCAAGTTCTGTGAAGCAAGTGTGAAAATAAATCTCTTCTGTGGATCAGAGGAGAGATTTGAGCCACAATTGACACTAGTGTCCTTTCTGCAGGAGACACGGATGCCAGCCGGACTGCAAAGCTCAGGTCTGCTTAGATCTGTGGTATGAACACAGATCAGACAGGCTCTGTTTCTGCTGCTGGTGAATTGGGAAGCTTGAGACTGCAACCATGGCAGGGACCAGATTTCCACTGGTGCCAGGGCAGAAAATCACGTCCTGCACCTCTCGCTATAACCACAGTCAGCTGCCAACACACATGGTACTGTCAGTGTAATGAGAATGCTGCAGAGCACACCTAAATTACACCATCCTTCATCCATCTCACTCGTGAAGTTGTTCTCGAGGATCTGTCCCTGCTTCCTTGTCTCTCACCTCCCACTCATGGCATTGCAATTGGTGGAGCTGCAGGCACAGCTGCTGGCTCATGCTGCTCTAGATGCTCTCCTGCTGCCCACCTTCTCTCCAGCCACTTGGCACAGCCCACCCTGGGGCCCCACATCATGCACTGAAAGATGGGTGATAAAAGGACTTGCTGCCATGCAAGGGCACAGGGAAACAAATCCCAGGAGGCAGCATTCCTTCCCATGACTCGCTTTCCTGCAGGGTGAGTTGGCCTGCCACATCCCAGTAGTCGCAGCCTGCCCACTGCCAGGAGGGGCAACACTGATACGTCCTGCAAGGCCAGCAACACAACGTCCCTGTGCAACAACATTCAGTGTATTTCTTGCTCTAGTTCTAAATAACTCGGGACAAATTCAATTTGAAATGTAATAGAAAGGCATGAGGGAACGTATGTTTGCTTCAGCACAGCTGTGTATCCCAAGGCTCAAAGCAATGCTTCTGAATCTTCCTTTCTTTCTGCCCCAGACAACCCAGAGATCATCAGACTCTTCATCCAACTCGAGGTAATTTGAGCACATTTTCCCTTCATCTTCATATGTTAACAAGTACATAGCTTGAGCACACTTCTAGTATTCTACTTCAATAACTGCAATTACCTGTTCGGTTAACATACACAAAGTAACAGTCCCAGCTGTGGTGCTTTCCTTGCTCCAGATGACTGGGTTCACTTGTCTTCAAAGCCAGCATCCACAAGGACAAAATCTAATGATGTTGCAGTCATTACTTTTCATTAATAATCACATCCTTCAGTTAGTAAAAATGCTTCTCACATTCTAGGAAAACACTGGGGAAATTAAAACCCCAAACACCAAAGGGTAAAATAAGAGTGATCACGCAGGGACAAAGTCCAGATTACTGTCTGGAAAGAAATTACAGATATTTGCAAGAACAAAGCTTCCATTCTCCTCCAAAACACCTTAACACTTAGTAAGGAAATAATGGCAGACCTGGTAGTAGAGGTGTCTTCCAACCTTATTGATTCTATGAAATAACCTCTTGCAAGCTCTATATGAAGGTATGTCACCACCTAGTTCTTCATCTGAAATGCCAGGTTTATCACTTTCCTTCTGAGCTGCATGCTCATGTACACACAGAGGTGCAGAAGTGAAGTTATTGGTGACAGTGACACAGCATACACCTCTGTGCTGCTTTTCAAAGCAAAGCCCAGTGGGAAGCAAAGCTATGCTTTGTCACCAGGTGCCACCACAAACCAACCCTTTCTGAGCCACTTCCCGTACTGCCACTGACCCACAGTGGCTGCAGAGCTTTGAAGCCCTGCTGTAGGCAGAACTGAATGCTGTAGGGAGGAAATAAAAGCATCATGATCACATCCCACACACAGTAGCATGAAGCAAATCTTAAAATTTCAGCAAAAGTAGGGTTTTTGCAGTTCAACAAGGATAGATATCCTCTAGCCTATATTCATTCCTAAACTCTTGCTATCTGCTGCCTTGTACACTATGAATCCTGTTTCAGGAAATTCTCTAATATAAGACTTAGTATCTAACAGGACAAGGCTTCCACAACTACCCTGAAAGCTTGCCTGACAATGCCAAGACATTTGGCTAGGCATGTAATTCCCTTATGTGTAGACATATATCATTTCTAGCCATCCTCCCCAGAACAAATTAAAACCCTAACTTTCAGCCTTGTTGAAACAGGTTTTTCTACTATCAAGATTCTTTTCTTTCTACATTCCACTCAAGAATACTGTGAACGCTTTCCCCCCATCTCAGTTTCTGGGCATATCATTCAGTATGTCAGTCTCTGCACTTCCCACTCTTCTTCTGTTTGCTTGTCCCTCTGTGTCTGAGGAGCAGAGGACCAAACACACCATTACAGGTCAAAGCTGAAACAGAAAATCTCTGTAGTCGACCCACTCGCATCTGCCTGACTCCCATTCTCTACCCAATTCTTCTTAGCAGTGTTTCTGAGCCACCCTGCAAAGTCACTTCCTGAGCTAAGGTGCTTTGATGTCTTTTATTCTTCTGTTCTGGCTTATCTGTTAACTACTTAAATTGCTCACCACTCTGCTGATTTTACAGATCTTCATCACAGTCAGTGTTAGCACTATGGCTGTTTGCATCCTTGCATCTCAACCTATATTTCTTTAAACTCAAATCTCAGTTTACTTCCATTCTATATTTCTAATTCCACTCAGCCCTACTCACTGAGGGAGACACCTCTACAACCACATAAACAGATAACTTTACCCACTTACACAATTAGCTGTGGTGAACTCTAACAAAACAATACAGATGCTGGACATTCTGACATTCTGAAGAAGAACTGAAGGACTTTTGTTCCCAAATCTGTTGGGTAACAGAGGAAGACAACATTTTAAGAAAACTTTCATCTCTCAGGTGTCTTCATGACAAGCTTAATTCCCACCTTTTGTGCCTTGACCTCACCTTATCTACACAAAATACCTTGCATGACACTTCCTTGCCAGAGGACGATGGAGCACCTAAACTTAATAGAATGGTTTTGTAGCAGAAGTACAATAAATTTTCTCTTGTAATTCAAATTCTCAGGGCACAGAGAAAAGCACCTACCGAGAGAGCACTCATTAAACATGCCAGCAGAGCTTTATTCCTATTACTATACAGAAGCCTTGAACTATTTGCAAAAGATGAATGTTTTTGGTTTGAAGTAATTTGCTTTGAATTTGCTTTTTGAACTGAGGGGATGAGGTGCCAGGGGAAGAGAAATGAGAAAGGTTCAATATGTGCAAGAACTTTAGCAGTCCACACTGTGCTACAACCTTAGAGATGCTTAATGGAAGTGGATACTGCTGCCCATGCTCTCAGAACCACTGGGAGGCTGAGGGAAGGAAGGTCTCCCTCCTGGATTTTTCCATCTGTCCCGTCCTTCAGTTCCTGAAATTCTCAGATGTGTTGAGTGTACAGGGCACAAAGAATTGTCTTTGGAGCCTCATATTGTGCTGGTGCAGATCTTGAGAACAGCTCTAGGGTGACACAGCAGGCGAGCACAGAGGTGACTGCAGTGCTGACCCAGCACAGCCACCCACAGGCCACAGATCTACAGAGAGTCAAGCAGAAAGTGCAGGCCCTTGAACCTGGGGCATCGATCACAGGTCTGCTCCAAATGAAAAGAGGGTCTGGAGAAGAGAAAAGAAACCACTTAATTCCTAGGATCAGAACAAAAGCTTTAGTCCATCTGTTCACATGCTGACAGGACTCTGCCCTCATCCTGAGTGCACTGAGACCAAGCCTGTTTATTTTCCTGATGTAGTAACACTTTCAAGGGAGAAGAAATTAGAAACTTTCTGAGGACTACAGACTACTTTCTTTAATCTCTTAGCCTTAAAACAGGCAGATTTGGGAAGAGAATCTGATGTTCCTGTTGCCTAATAGAACTACAAATGAAAAGGTGAAGAGAGAAGACAAGGTATTTGTAGTAAGCCTTACAGTTATACAAAAACCTCATCCATCCAGTCATGAAAATTGTTCACTATTATGCAAACATGGATGTGTATGCAAAGTCCAGAAATGAAAAACCTGGAATATTTTACATAAAAGCCATGATAAAGGACAATAGCAACCAGCTGATCAGTGCCAGGAGCAGAAGAGGAAATGTCAGCAAAGCAAAACTTCCCCACACAACTATGAATGCTGGCCACAGAAGCAATGACAACACTTGTAGGTCCACAATGAAAACTAAGAATCTAAGTAAAGAAGAGCACTTAAGAAGACAAAAGGATACAATCACAAAACTACAGTAAATTATATGTATAGTTTAAAATAGGTAATTTGTAAGCACAGTGACAGTTCTGATTAACTTAGTGCAATAGGAAAGGCAGTAAAACTAAGGAATTGGCTACATACAACTCTAAGTACAACCCACTTTTAAGTATAGCTAATAATTTTACACTTACCCAGTGTAGTTCTGGCTCATACTTAAGACCTTAATTTCTCTATTTACCAGGGTCCCAGATTTAACTTTTGGGTCCTAACTAGTCCCTTGAGAACTACCTTCTCTTTCATAATTTAGTCCCTATGATTGTCTGCACAGTGTTTTATGCAATGAAAACCTGCTTCTTAGTTGGGTCAGATGATTTGAATCCACAAAACTATATTGGGGGTTTTTTCTTTGTTTGTTTGAATTAAATGTCCCTCACCTCCCATACCCCTCTTCTATGTTCTCTGTTATACATAAATAAAACAAATATAAATAAAAATATAAATATAAAGCAGGTGCTATTTTAAGAGTAACAGAAGATACTGTTTAATCAGCACCTGGAGGGTCTAATGCCAAAGCCTGTGGGAAACAGTTCTCTCTCTATTCAGCATCTTCCTTAGTGTTAGTTCTGGACCAGACACAATTTACTCCTAACTCAGGTCTCCATTGTACTGGTCAGTGTCTGCTTTGTGTACGTGGCATGCTCAGGAAAGGAAATATTTCACATAGGCATCCATTATCCCTAAGCCTATTTCTTTGATTTTGCTCTCATCCATGCAATTTCTAACAGTGAGAAACACGAGCTGAAGAGAAAAAAACTATAACATTCAATACAGCCATTGCCTGCATCATTCTCTTTTAACTTCCCTTCTTTTTAGCACTTTTTAAATTCTTTCCCAGTTAATTTCTCTTACTCCTTTACTGAGTGTCCCCAGAAAAGCACAGATATGTAATGAAGTTGCCATAACAGATGTGAATTGTCTCCCTTTTTAATGGAACTTAAATTTATTCTGAAGAAGCTAATACATAGTTGGTGAAGAATGTGGATGTAGAAACATCCACAAGTCTTGCTACCTCCTTCTACCACAGGGTTTTGTTCTCTTTTAAATAGCATACAGGAAGTAACTCAAAAGTTACTCCAAAGGAAGGAACTCATTGAAGCTGTTTTACTTATTCACATATATAAACGTCCCTCAGGCTAAAAAATCCCAAGAAACCACAGGAGTAGCATTTCTAGAGTACTTACTCAATCTCCTTAAATCTAAACTCTCACTAAAGGAGGTGCCCAGACATTGGTTAACCAGTCCTGAATAAAGCCTTCTACATCTGTTCATCACAGCAACTGGTTAATACAATACAGGCCGAAAAGACAAAGTCATTTTCGTTAATATTCGCAGTGTTTGAATAAACCCAGGTTTGTCTCTGGGACAAACACTGTTCTCCAAAATCAAAAGTTTCTCCTGAATAATGATACAAAGAGGTGCATGTCTCATAAAGGAAAAAGCTATAGAGCAGTATCCAATAAAAGCAACCAACAATAACATTTATCTCTCTAAGAAATACTGTCTTCTAGTATTTTTAATATTATCTATACAGTAGAAAAGTAAATAACACATTAAATATATATACATTTTAGAATAATTTAATATAAATTATTCCTTTCATACCTCTTTATACCACACTCAATTCACTGGATACATTTCAGATAAACACTTACTCATAACTAGCTCATAGCTTTAGCACACCTTATAAAACATTTCTGAATAAAAGAGCTTCTTATAATTTGCAGCTCTTGACTCCAGCAGCTTCTGAGACAACAAATGCCCATTGTTTCTCCTTCAGTGATTTGTGCTTTTTAAAACAGGATAATCACTGTGACTGACCCAGCACTACCACAGGAGGGACTAAATTAACATTTTTCTTTCATAGCACAATAACCCAGTTGAACGAAATTCTGAGATTATTCTCATTCAGCCTTTTCAGACTAGATTTCTCAAGACAGCCTCCTATCAACGCATAAGCAGAGTCACTTCATTGTGTTGGCTGTCTCCAGACAGTGAAATTCTGCACCCCCAACCCAATGTCAGCCAAACACAACAGTCAAAGTCGTGCAGAAAGGAGGTTCCCTCCAACCACACTGAAAGCTGTTCATGAGCAAGAAGACAGACCTGGGAAACTGCTTGCAGAGGGACGACACAGGTTTCCCCTGCTTGTGTCCTGACCGTGCAGCTGCACATGCAGCCCTGAGCCAGGCACAGCAAGAGCCATCCTGTGCACAGGGTGCAGCCAGGGAAGAGACAACACTGCATATCAGGACCTCAAATACTGCTGCAGAAAAACCTTGCTTTATTGAACCCACATGTTTCCAAGCTAACAACTGATGGGCACATTTGGGTATCCAATGGACTGTGGCTTCTGAGATTTGAAGATATGCAGCCCAGCTCTGTCCTCCTGCCAGACCTCTTTCCTGGACCTGGGAAGATTGTGCCATGCAGAAACTCTGAATGAAAAGAAACTGCTTCTCCATGGGGTTTGAGCAGCAGCTGTCAGTCAAAAAGGGTTACTGCCAGGTGATTTTGAGAAGCCTTTGCAAAAAACTTTCAATGAAGGGCAGTTATTTTTTTCTGGAGCAGGGCAGCAGACAGGAATGCAATACTGGACTGGAGCAAATCAACCCTTGTGCAGTCCCAAGGTTAACATGGTCCTTGGGGAAGACCACACACCTATAACTTGGTCACAGACCTTACAGAGGAACACCCTCCATTCTCCTCCTTTGGTGGAGAGAGGTCAGATGGGATTATGAGGACAGTATAATAACTGCAGTGCCTCCCCTCAGACACTCTCCCCACATCTGCACAAAAGCACACACTGCTCCCCTACAGGAACTCCACAAAAGCTGCTGTCCACACAAGGATGTGATCCTCCCAATGCACTGACCTCTGTGTGCAGCAGTGCTGCTGCCAGACCCAGAGCCAACCTTCCTGCCCTTTCCACTGCCTCCTGTTGAACACCACCTTTCCTCACAAATGCAGTTTATGAGAAAGTGACTGGGAGGCAACTATCCTAGAAGGAGTGGGGATGCAAAGACAAATGACAGAGTAAGTTCCTGACAGTATGGTTTTTGTCACCAAACAAAAGCACTTAATAATACAAGGAGCATCAGATCCCAACTGTAGCATTCAGCAGCTCTGACTCCTAAACGGTGATAGAGGGAAGGTGTCAAATGGATGCCAAATATTGAAATATCTTGGAATATTTTACCACATGATATAAAGAAAATTTAGAAGTGATGAACACATCTTTTAATGTCACAGTGCCTTTTTTTCTCAACTACTCTAAAGCTCTTTAACTTTGAGGCAGCTTTTGTCCTTTTTCTAACATAATAATTTATAATTCTAATCCACCCCAATAATTAAAGCAATTAAATTACTCTTTTACTAGGTGACTTGACAGAACTAGTTTAGTTCTTGAAAAGAATGGAAATTAAGTGAATATTTCTTTGATAGGTATTAACACAATTCATTACAAAGCACTTCTGTCAAGTTCAGTACCATAATTTATATAACTACTACTGTACTATTTAGGTTTGCAACCATTCAGAAGTACTTAAACACTTAAACAGAGCTCCAAGTTTCCACAAAGGACACATTCCAAAAGAAATCAGGTGAATTGTCAAAGAGAACATGACGAAAATTTATGTTGCTTTGACTAGCTTACTAGTTGTTTACTTAATCATAGGAAAATTTCCACCCATCAATCATCAGATAGGACATACTACACTAGTTTCACTCCACAAAAGCTGTTACTCATGCATCTCCTTTCCACTTTTATTGCTTCCATTTATTTCCAACTTCACCTTTGGTCTCTGTTCTGTCAGAACAGAGGAGGAAGCTGCAGGACCTAGTAGTAATAATCCTACATAAAGAAGGAAAATGAGAGAGGAAGGGAAAAATGAAAACTTAAAAATAAGATGTGAGGAGCTCTATCCAGCAGAACAGAGATATCAAAGAACCAGCAGACTCATTCTCAGGAGCACTACAAAGTACATAACTGTGATTCCTTCACTCCAGCCATGCTCCATTACAATAAACATAAGCTGCAGACGCTCTCTGGACATTTACCTCAGACACAGAAGACATTTTCAGTAGGAGACTTTTCAGACAGTAGCAGACAGAAACACAGGGGTGAGACGACAGGACCCTTTCCACAACACACTCCTAAAGAGTATCTTGGCTGCCACTGTAGCCACCTCTCCCTTTTCACTCTCTCATGGCCCCTGGTCTCCAAGTTTGTTTATTCGGAAATGACTGCTACCTCAAGTATGAAATGTCCTCAGCTTCTCACTTAAACAGGTGTTACTGAGGGAGAAGTGTTATGTGGCCTTTTTTCAGAAACGAGAGTATCAGAGGAGTCTGACAGGATACTCTGATCAGACGGGGCGACATACTGAGACTTTATTCTCCATTTCTTTTTCAACAGTTAATCTTTATGAAAGAAGTTGTTTGCTAAATAGAATTAATATATCAGCTGCTGTGTCCCAGATCAGAGACAGATGCATGTTACAGCTTTTCTCAGCCAAGCAATAAGGACCCATGAACAACCACTTCTCTGGCAGTAGTAAAGGCTGTGATGTTTATCAGGGACACATACTGCACTCCTGCACTCGGTGACAGAATTAAAATGGTTTAAGAAGGTACCACCTCCAACCAGGATGTGATGATTGACCAAAAGGTGACTATATAGAACAGCTTAATACTCATTGCTCTCTCCATTAAGCTAAAAGTAACAGAGACACTAGAAACTCATCTCTTTTTCTTTGCCACTGAGGCTTGCTAAGAGCATGGCTGGCAGCCAGCCATTTTGGCCCAGATCCCCAGTGCAATTGCTTCCAACAGTGTAACCATCCACACATCCACACCGCTATTTCTGCCCTGAGCTGTGAATAACTGCACAGAACAGTGGGAATCAGCTAACCTGGGCATCAGCCAGTCCTCACCTGGTGTATACCCATGCAAGTAGGCTGACTTCACTGTTACATGCTCCCTTCAGTGTTTCCATGATTGGGGTCTCTCTTCTTGATATGCTCTTAAAGAAGTGGGCACAGAAAGGGAAGTTCAGAGGAAATACTTCCAACAGCTCCTTCAGCAGAAAGTAATACACTGGTAGAAGTCACTCTCACAGAAGGAACAGCCCAGTAATGCTTAGAGAACATCCAGTCAATTTAGGATTGAATGGTACTACAAAGTGTGTGTGGTATCTGCAACATATATAAAACCACAATTTAACCTGAAAATCAGAAAGAGCACCAACATGTGCCTGAATATCCTCCCACTGCAGTACAGCAGCTCAAAGTTGTGCATTACCTCATAGTGCCCAGATCCATTAATGTCCAATGCCACACAAAGTACTGCTTCAAGAATGGAACCAGAGAAGGGAATGCATTCTGGAACCACGGGCACAAGTGATAAGGAGTGTGGCTATGCTTGACCTGGTTCTGTTCCATGGCAAGGAAACATGAGTTTTTATGCTATTTTCTCTTGACTAAGCACAGTACTCTTCTGCTGAGCAGTCTTGGATGAGAATTCTGCAATTCTATGCTTAGCAGTTTACAAAGAACAAAGGGTTTTTTTAAATCCTTTTGCTAATAGCACATACAAGAAATAGGAAAAACTGAAATTCAGGTCCCCAGGAAGAAGTTAAAGAAAAGCAAAACACTACCAATGGCCATCACTAATACAGCATTATGATTCACAGATGAGAAATAGAAAAATGAAAGTCAAACCAGAGCATAAAAAAGGTCTAGTAGATAAGTTGCCTTCTGGATATCACAGGTACAGAATTTTCCAAGACAGTAGGTGCATGAAAAATACCCCAATATTTTGGAAGCAAATCCTGACTCATTCCATATCAAAGGGGCTCCCAATCAGAAAATGCCTGAAGCATCAAAGCAAATTTCTGAACATTTTAAGTTAGAAAAGATCTCAGAGTAGCTAGTATAAGCATGCTCAATCCAAACAAGTAAAGGGAACAGTGTGAACAGAGGACAGAATTGCTTTGCTTTGGGGGTGGCATGATTAATTGTTTCGACCAAAGTAAAAATTATCCCAGCAAATTTTTAAAGGAATTCAGAGAAGTCATAATAAGAGAAGACAGAGCCCCAAATGATCACAGCACTCTGTGAACTGAATTGCTGCTGTATTGTTTCTACAGACCAGTGCACTGATGCACCACAGTGAAGGTTTCCTCTCTCAAAAAGCTTTACAAGTCGCCTTTGTAAACTTAAGTGTTACCACCTGAGTTATCCAATAAACAGTGTGAAAAGATAATCTGATTTAATGACTCAAGAGTGGGCACAAGATTAAAGTTTTCTGTCCCACATTTTTACAGTCATGACTGCAAAAGTCACATTGGAGCTTTCATAAATGTCAGTTTCAAGCTTTGACACAAAAATAAATACAGATGTCATTTGCTACAAATGTAGTAATGGATTATGAAGTGATGAGCACATATGTGAGAAAAAGCTAATTATATGAGTTACACTGATAGTTTAAGGCTGCAGGCTCAAAGTATTTTCATCCTCTTTACTACTTTTGATACGCAAGATTTCTTTAGATCATTTCTAAGTACCAGCGTAGCACAGCTTGAGTAGAACCGCAACATGTTGCCAATGGCAACAGCAGCGGTTTCACATGTTTATTTCACTAGAACATGTTTCAGCTCGGCACCCTCCAGCTGGACTTGGATAATGGGTCGGACTTCATAGGTGTCATGGAATTCCCACTGCCTTCAGCAGTGCTGCACCGGCTCCTACTGACAGAAAGTCTACTCTGATTGCTGCTGTGTTTTCAAGTAAAAATTGTAGAGATGACATTGCCCTTCCTGGAAAAGCATTCCCACACTGCAGAGACAACCCACACGAAGGCACACAGACGTGTTTGATGCAGGACAAGCACCATACCTCATTCCTTCTGTCGATCTGTTCTGGTAGTTGCAGTACAGCTGGGGGACGCCCAGCATGGCCTCAGTGAACACAGCAAGGAAGCCCAGCGTTTCCACAAACAGGGAGGAGTCCAGCCACAGGTAAGTGATGTAACCAGTCACACCAGTGAAAGTGAGGACGCACTGCACGTAGTCTGTAAACTTGCTCCAATGCCAAAAGTAGTTCAAGTCAAAATCTGCAACAGAACAGGAATGCAAGAAGAATGAAATATGTTTTCCCAACCAACTCAAAGTCAGTCAGGGTGGAATTGAGAACTGGGAAGAATGAGGGAGCCACAGGCTTTGGTGGAAGGGGTTAGAAGAAAATGAGGGATAGGATTAAAAAAACAAAACCAAACCAACCAACCAAACACACACATTCGCAATCATCCCCCCACCAAAAAAATCCCCACAAAAACAACAAGAAAAATAAAGAATAGTCCTGATGTCAAAAACAGTTTTTGGGGGGTGTTTGATAAAGAAACAAGAAGACAAAGGCTTGCAAGACAATAAAGTATTTACAAAGATAACTTTTCAAAAGGAAGCGTTTCAAACATACCTTCCTATACCAAACATGAAGGACTCTGGATATTGCTGTAGTGGGGCTGGCATAGGAAATGTTTCACAAAAACTTTCCAATACTAATAACAGGCCCCAAGCATCACAGTGCAAGCATTCTTTCTCTTAGGTCATTATCTCTGCCTTCCAAGTGCCTCAATCCAAGCTGCTTAAGAAGGTCACCTAAAGTCCACCACAGCTCTGCTCCCTGGTGCAGTGCAGCTGCCTGTGGTGAAGGGCAATATGCCAGTGCAGCTGCTACAGCTTTACTGAGACAGGTACAAGACTGAGGCAAGATTCTCCCTGGAAAAAAAGCCTCTCACAGATATCACCACTTTCACTCCTAGGACAAAACTTTGCTCCTGCCTTTGCCAGAACCAAGGAGTGCAGGTTGAGTGCCCATTTCTGTATCTGTCACAATAAAAAGCTCAGCCACAAAACACAACATCCCCTCTTGAAGGAAGGCAAGAAGGAAGGAACCAACCATGGCATTTGCTTGGCACAATAAAATGTATCACTGGAAGACATGTAGCTGTTTTACTGATGAATAAGAAAATACACAACCCCATAGAGATTTACCATATAGCAATGTAACGAATTTATTTTTAACAAAAATGCTACAATAACTGTTGGTTAGCAGGTGCTGTTCCTGCCTTCCTTTGATAGAAGCCCCTACTTCAGACCAACTGGACTCTCTGAACTACCAAGATGATGAACTATTGTCCTAACAGGGATATTACAATCAGCCCAAAGCCGTGCAACACACAGCACATCACTAGAAGATTTCTGTTGCTGCCACTTCAGAAGCAGTCAGAAAGCTACAGAAATAGTCCCACTGCTAACTCAAGCAAGGAAGACATTGACCTCCACTGACTAACACTAACAGAAAATTCAGTGAGATGGGAATATAGGCACTTAGCTGCCTCAGGATACATACACACACCAAGTAATGATTTTATTTTCTGCATCTCTTCATATCAGTATCTCTTCGTATCAGTATCAGTCTGACCCTCAGACACCCTTTATTAACTATTCTCTTCTTAGTACTTGGCAAATCCACATCTCCAGGACATCTCCTGACTGCACCCAGCTGAATAAATTTATTTTGCCACCCAAAGAAGAAGGCACAACTGGCCAGGAGCCATACCCAACCTGCAGCATTGTCAGCCATCACCCAGAATTGAATTAAATGGCCTGGAGCAAAACCACTGTCAATGTAAATGTTGACTTTCAGTATTTTATGGTAGTGGCTCCTCAGCCTCAAAATTCAGGGACACAAGACTAAATAAAAGTTAGACTCAGTGCTAGCACACCCCAAACCACATGAGCCTCATGCATTTCTTCTTGTGAAGGCTTCCCTTTTTGGAGATGAAGGGCCCATGGTCCTTCATTCATTAAACCAGTTGTCACATCTGCCCTACATACACTGTGTTTTTCCTCTTGTGTTCTCCACATGCTCAAGGATCCTTTTTAAAATACCTATCCCTGGACACCAAATCCTAATTTCCCAAGTTCATTTTCATAACAAAAATCAAAGAACTAAAACTACATGGAAGGACTAGTTTAGGAAATTCATGAAACCCCGTAAGTCAATATTCCCACAGCTATTGTGAGGCAAGCTACAAAATCCATGGATCCATGCAAACACTTGAGAATAGATGAGAAAAACACTGTGTGAAACAGGATTTCAGCTGAAGCAGGAGAACTAATTACTAGCACAGAGATTCTCTTTTGCTCAAAACTATCATGATGCTAGATAATCTCCATTTCACTGTAGTAGTTTAAAAGTTCTGGTTTCTGCTATAAATTTTGCTTGGTAATATAGTTAAGAAAGAAGGGAAGAAGGGAAGAGAAGACAAAAGAGATAAGAGCAATCATAACCTTAGGTAATAGTTTTGCAGAAAAACATCTGAGTTATTGTAAAAACAACCCAATATATAATCACTAATTGCTCTACTTAACAGATGTATTCTCCAGATGCAGAAGTCTATTTTAGGACACTGTATATGACCACACTCTGCATTACAAAAAAAAAATAGAGAACAACACCTGACTTTCCATAAGAGTTGTAAGTTTTTTAGCCCTTATTTGAACTGCTAAAATGTTTTGCCACATGATTGCTTCTTTTTAACCAAGGACAAAGTTTATTTTCTTTGACAAATGGCTTCAAAAATTCAGAGGGAAAAAAGTCACACACCCATCATGTCAAGATCTGGAAATAAACTGTGACTCATTTTTCCAACTGGCTCCCTTCTCAAGGGGGTCCAAACACATTCTGTAATGGGAGGGATATTTTATTCAAGAAAAAAATTTTGATTGTGCTGAATACAGTGACAGGTATATGCAAAAAAAAAAAAAAACAAAAACCTTTTCAATGCTTAAAAAAAGTAATTTTTAAAACAGAACAAAATTTATGTATGCAAACCAGTCCTATCCCAACCAGTGCCCCAGACCACATCATCTGAGAATGGAACAAAGTTATACATATTATTGCAAGCATTATTCATGTTTGAAGAAAAGTATGAATAATAAGTATCACATTGGGATTTTTGCCTCCCCATCATCTCTTTTCCTTAGAAGGACAAAACAAGAAATCCCACTGTACCACCATTTATTTCTAGCAAATGTCTTAAAAACTGTCTAAGTTAAATGTGGATGCATATCTTTCTACTCCCTGAAATGGGAAGGCACTGCCTGCACAGCACACTCCATTCTGCCCAGTGAGAAATCCCTGACATGGGTTTGTAACCACACTCAGCTGATGCAGTTCAACCAGTAACTCCCAGTCACTAAAACATCCTGTGTGGATCAGAATTGGCATTACTGCAGTGAAAGGTACTGTATTTTATTACCCATGGCTGAGCTCTTTAAACCACTCAGTGAGCTGAATTTTAAGTATGTTAATCCATTGATAGATGAGATATTTATGTTGGAAAATCCTATTAACGCTGGGGGAAGGAGCAGCTCAGTAGGTTTTTTGTGCACTGACTGGAGAAAACTACACAGCTTGAGGGTGAAGAAGGATGAGATTAAAAGATCTCCTCTGGGAGGCACTTTGCATGTCAGATATGAAAAATGTAAAGCAGGCAGAGACAGCATTGTAAATAACAATGGTTATTACCAGTCGGGCCAAAATGCAAGTAGTAAATTCAAGATTCTGGTGTGGGATAGACGCCAAGTGACACAAAGAAGAGTCCACAGGATCAACTTTCAAGTGAGGATGACACAGAGGTCCAAACAGTTACATTATTTTTAGTCAAGAAACATTTTATACCAAGCCAGCTACCATGCTAGTTCCTTTTGGGAAAGTGAAGCTAAGACTTTGACATCCTAAAAATTATTTACTGTAGCTCTCAATTTCTCTTACTAGTTGCATCTTATTTTGTGTCTTGACCTTTCTAATTCTGTACCTACATCCTTGCACTACATTCACTTACACTTATCCTTAGACATTTGACCCAGCTCCTCCTTTTTGGTTGGTTCCTTCCTAGTTTTGAGGTCAGGGAAAAGCTTGCAATTTCCATTGGCTGTCTTTGCATTTGAGCCCTTTGTATAGCTTTGACAAGGAAATAAACTCTTTTATTCTTACAAAGGCTGCTGGTTTTACCCTGTCTCCCACTCTTTATGAACGCCATTACATCACAATCACTCACCCAAACTGCCTCCCATAATTAAACTCTTGACCTCCTGTATGAAAAACACTGCTCACTAACTCCTCCTAAGAGCATGCTGAGCAGACAGTCTCTACCCCTGAGTGCCCTTCCAAACAGATGACTCAGTAGTTAATCCTCTATCCCTTGGTACACAGCTAACTCTTATGTTTTGTGAGACTGTGGTGCTGTTCAAAGGACATCCAATTTCGGTCATCTGGCTGACCTGTTCCTGCCACACGATCAAAGGAGTCCAGCCCGAGCAGTCAGATGTCCAATGTTTCTCTCAACAACACTGCAATCCAAAACCTGGCTTAGATGCTGTGAAAGAGCCTGATAACAGTAATATATCCAACCTGGAACAGTTAAAAAATGCAGTCGTGGCTGGTAATTATTTCAGGTTATTATCCATGGTCTGTTTCCTATAAAATGTATCCACTTTGAAGATGCAGGAGACACAACCTGCAACTGTCTGTGCTGCCTGTGGGTCTCAGCCACTGGGCTACAGTACAACACTCTCCCCCTCATTTGCTCTTCTGCTCTCCAGAACTCATGGTCTCTGCTGTAAAAGGGGTTCAGCTCTGAGCCACAGGCAAATATGATGCTGCTCCTCATCCCAGCTTGGCAACTAGGGCAACTCTTTGGACAGCTGGAAGATGCAGACTTGTATCCCACGGTGACAAGAGAAATTAACTCAGCTTAGAGCAATGAGTGCTCTAAGCTACACATAGGTCCTGCACTCAGCAGTGGCATCTTAAAAGTAAAT